CTACTTTTAAAAATAAGTTGTTCATATAATTTATTAGATATACCGCTTAAATTATTAGAAACACTTTTTACTTTTAAGATATTTTCAAAGTTGCTTTTAAATTCTACTTCAAATTTTGGAACTATTATAGTGATACTGATATTCTTTTATTTCGTTCACCATTGAATCTTTATCCATTTTCAATATTAACCAAAAATGTTCCAATATTATTTCTTAGTGATTGGGAAAATATAACACTTCTACGTTATAATAGTGGTTTTCTATTTTTAAGACCATTGTATTTACCAATAATTGAATTATGGACAAGTGGTTTAAATGTAAATAAGGCAACATTTAATCAACCACCATTACAAAATTTGTTAAATAATGATAAAATAAATATTTCTAATGATATTGAAAAGCTAATTAGATATCAATACAATCGAATAAAAGCCAAACATCGAGAAGACAATGCTAATAGAAAAAGAATGAAATCTAAAACATTAATAGAATATTTAAATGCAATCAACATATTAAAAGTTCCATCTTCGTATGTTACTCCATTTCCATTTCATTATCCGATACCTAATCTTGGTAATAAAGTTTATAAACAAAAGAATTTTGGATGGTTAGAATCAAAGAGTCCTCAATATTCTGTTGATTATCCTCGTTTAATTTGTGATAATAAGACAATCCATTATTATTTAAAATTAACTCGTCAAGAAACAATTGCTCAAATTCTTACACTTGATGGGAAAACAACAAAGGAGTTTGTTGGCACTTATTGGTATCGAAATAAATTACCACTACCAAATTTCCATTGGCTTTATCATTATACTAATGAGCCCGGACATATATGGAAAATGAATAAGATAAAATTAGATAAATTTTGGAATTTGATACGGACATAATAAAACATTATTGAAAATAATGAAATTGAGAAATGATGTAATTTCATTGATATTTTGCTGATCAATAGGAGACATAATTCTAAGAAAAAGTCTAACGGGATATATGCCCATAGATCTTTCTCAAGGAGTTATGCATTTTTCTCTGAAGGTACCCCAAAATGTTTTGAAATAAATCCTTTCGGTATTTTGACCTTTAACGATCCACCCATTTCTCTTTAGTAGAGTAGCTCATTCAAACCATAACTCATAATTGAACCAAATAGCATATATAAATATTTGGCATATGAGATGTGACGTGGTGTGACTTTCCATACACAACCACTTTACGAGAATAACTAACATAAGGATGTTGATTCTGGGTGCGGGTAGGTCTAGAAGCGGATTTAGATGGTGGTTTTGATATCAGATGGGAGCTCATAAAAAGCAAATCATTTTAGATTTGGTAAGACTGTGTTACCTGATTCCGGTGCAGAAATTTGAATTTTCTCAAAGAAATCTAGTTTATTTTGTGTTTTGA